CAGAGCGCCGAGGCTCCGATTGCCATGCTTGCAGATATCGAGCATTGTCTCTACGCGTCGTCTTCTCGATTAAACCCGTGCAACCTGAGCAAACTGTGGACGCCCATCTCTTGTCGCATGTGGCATCTGAAGTGGATTTCTGGTACATTTTGGCCATAACGTCGATTTTCTGTGACGGTTTGCTAATCCGTCCGACTGCCAGGCCCCAAAGTTGTACTGGTTTCTCCGAACAGATTTCCCTCACTGGGAGCATCTTTGCATGATTTCCGAAATTGTCCAACCTCCTTTTCCTTATCGCGATATCTTTTCCTCTAGTTGGTGGCAGATCATTAATCCAGGAGTTTCCTTTTTGCTGGTCTTGCTCTATTCTTGTTTTCCCCGTGTTTGCTTAAGCAGTAGACAAAGTTATCGCTATCCCTACCTTCCTCCAATCTCCTGTTCATCAGATTTTTTATCCCCAAGCATGTCAATGGCCTCCCTAATCTTCCGCTTTCTTGTGTTGTCACCGCATGGGGCCCTTCTTTCTGTTGCCTTCCAATTGATCTCGTGTCCAGTCTGTGCGATGTGTTCTGCTAATTCTCATATTTCGCTATCCATTTTCCTGCAGAGTCTTTGATGGTCCTTGATTCGTATGCCAATTTTTCTACCTGTTTCGCCAATATATTTCTGAAAAAATGCATATGAGTGCCGCCTCACTGTGTTTGACAATCTGTCGTTTACCTTCTTGAGTTTCAGCCATATGAACTTGGCTAATTTGTGTGCTGCTCCAAACTTGTTGCTAACTATCATCTTTAGTGGTTATACTTCTTTGTGTAACTTCGGTAACCCGTAGGATGTTGGTGGTCGTGCATCTTTTTTTATTAGTGAATTTATTATCTATCCACTGATCTCTCCGTTCCTGTGCATATCTTTTAACATGTACCGTAAAGTTCCATTGATCTTCATAGTTGGGTCCTTCTTTAGTACACGATGGGTAGTCCTGTCTTGCAGTATATATTCCATTTTCTCTTTATATTGTTTTCTGTACATTACAACTGTCACTCCTCCTTTGTCCGCCTGAAGGACCAATTGTTCATTCCTTTCTAGAGTTCTTCGTATCCTCGCAAATCTGTTCTTGTGCATTGGTTCATGTGTCAAGATTCTAGGGATTATTTCCATCTCCAGTTCCCAATTTGTCTCCTGAGGGAACTTGTCGGAGATATTGATGACCTCCACCGAAATAACCGCTAAAATATTTATGCTATTTTTAAGAGAACGTTTAGTCCTTTCTTTAGGATCGTAGTGATTTCAGGAGCAAGAGGAAGTGAGGATAAATGCGCCGGCTTGTTCCCTTCGTCGTACTATTCAGTCGTTGTCGTCGCCTTGGAAGCCCCTTCAGCTGAGCACACTGGCTTTACTCTGTATTGTCTTATAATTCCATACCTAAGCAATTTAAGGTCCTGTTTTTTGTTATTAAGTCAGATATCATATTTAATTTCTTGTTGGCCGTACTCTGGAGTTCGTGAAAATCCTCCAGAGTCATAATATCCGCCAAATCACGCCGGAGCTTTGACTTTATTTTTATAGACTTAAATAGCTTCTTCCTTTCCATATCATAGCTTTCATGTAACTTATGCAAGGAAGTAGGGAAGCCTAATGAATAATCTCATTGACCCTATCTGAATGGAAGTGTCTCGTAGAATCCCAAAATCCAGGTGCGATAGCATAACGTTTACAATAGTATGAAAACGCCAATTCGCATGATTGGCTCATGATTGTCTTCACTTTCCGGCTGTAATTGGTCCACTATTTGGCAATCTTACTTCCATAGTTTAGTCGAAGGTATGCAGACCGCGACCATACAAAAGGCCACATCTTCCTGGTCCTCATACATTCGAGGAAGACAGCAAGACCAGCAAAAAGGAGACGCCTGGATCAGGGATATATCACTAACCAGAGGAAAAGGAGGTTGGACAATTTCGGAAATCATGCAAAGATGCTCCCAGTGAGTGAAGTGTGTTCGGAGAAACCAGTACAACTTTGGGGCCTGGCAGTCGGGGAGCTAGGCGGATGGATAAGCAAACCGTCACAGAAATTCGACATTATGGCCAAAATGTACCAGAAATCCACTTGAGATTCCACATGCGACCAGAGATGGGCGTCCACAGTTTGCTCAGGTTGCACGGGTTTTATCGAGAAGACGACGCGTAGAGACAATGCTCGATATCTGCAAGCATGGCAATCGGAGCCTCGGCGCTCTACTCGATGAGGCGGCAGTGTACGTACGTCTATGGCCTTGAGAAATGGCGCCTGGAGTGAAACGTACCCCGGGAGTGGAAGCGAGTGAAATGGGTGAACCGGAAGGTCTAGAAATGGATCTAAGAGACCATGAGGGAGATCCGGATAGGAGGTT